AAATGATTTTATTATCAATTAAGGGATTAAATTATTTAAGTTTGCTATCAACTTGGTTCGTGGCGTTGTGCCACCAAGCTCGAGGAACCAGGCCTCCTTAGGACACTTAGCCCCGCAGCCCGGAGTAGTCCATCCTAAAAATCAAGTTGATATAGTTGCATTAAAAGATTTGTTGATTGGTTTTAAGAGATTAGTTTAATGTTTGATTAAGGTTTTAGGTGGATTAGTAGATTTGGGTTTTAGAAGATTTTTAACTTAATGAGTTTTAGCTTAGGCTTGTTTTCCTAACTCGATCTATGTCTTTTAAATTTTACGTTGGTTGAGAATTCATTATTAGATTGGTTAAGTTTGATTTTAGGTTCTGTATTTTAATGATTATGAAATATTAATTATAGTTTGAATATAAATTAAGTGTTTTAGTATATTCCGAGTTGGATTAAGGTTAATTTGTTGGTTAATTATTAATAGATTAAGAGGGTACTAAATAGGAAAATATATCACTAAGTTTTCTATGTTTTGATGTCTCTATCCTATAGGGAGCATGCATCATAAGTTTATGTTACCTAAGACTCGGTCCTTAATTCTCATCCTTAGGTGTCACTAATATTATAGGGGACAAAAGAAAGTTCACTTCTAACCCTCTAGACATTCGTACATGTATAAGCAAGTTTAGGGATTTATGAATGAAATTACGATAATAAATAGAAGAGCGGGAAGTAAAAAAAATAAAGACGCCTAAACAAGATAGAAAGAGAAAAATGAAAATCATATATAAAAGGAATATAGGCATTTTGTTATTGGACATGATTCTTCGAAGTCGAGCATGTCTCTAAAATAGCATCCTCCCTAATTCTATATGATACGAATAGGGAAGAAGGCACTTACAATGCCCTTTGATGTCCCCACAATCCAAACAAAGCACTTGATATAAGACTCAACTCAAACAAACTTAACTACCCTCTAAATAAAGCTCCAATCGACAAAAGAAAACAAACTCCCAAAATGCAACCCAAAATGGGCCTCTTAAAACCCAAAACATGATCTTACTACTCACTAATCCAAAACCATCTAGAAAACAAGTGCAAGCAAGAAGAAAGACAACTGCCCACATAAACAAGATCATTCACTCAAAAAACAAAGACACAAAAGAATCTTTCAACCCAAAGCCAATCGTAAGACCATGAATCCCCAAAAGACTTATAAAACTTTTCCAAGGAGACTACACATAAAGCCCTACATGAACGACCTACTAAAACCTTCCAACACAAAACAAAACAATTCAAGTGCTTTTCTTTTTATTTGGAATGGGGTAGGAATCCATAAATCTTCTCCAGCAAGAAAATTCCACAAAAGCTTTCGTTATAATACATTCACAAAATCTATCGCGAATCTTCGCAACATAAAACGACTCACAAAGCTTTTTCATTAAATATAAATGTTTGCGAAGAAACAACGGGAGCAAATCATAAGAAACACAATTTTTAGTATAAAGCAAATCATAACACTTCTTCAACATAAGACAAACCAAAGCTCTTTTAAACATAAAGTGGGTCATAAATCTTTCAAACATGAAGCCATTCATAAACTTTTCCATTCATACTAATCAATATGATTTTCATATAAAACTCATACAAGCGAAGGAGAAACCAATACTTAAGAGTAAAAATAAAAGTATTCCATCACTCACCATGATTCTTTAGAACTAGACATACTTCCAACTCATTCTATTCCCACCCAACATTCGATGCAAAAGAGATAGAGAAGGTCCAATGCAATTTCACTCTTTCAAATATCCAAGAAAAGACTTTCAGCCAATAGGAAGCAAGATTCCGCTTAAATCCATGTGCAAACTCATATTTGAATCACAGGAAAGTTCTTTAATCATTCTCCAAAATACTTTATGAGAAATATGCGAATACTTGCCACGATTTTTCTCCAACAACCTTTCCAATCTCATACTACATGCCACAAAAATTCAAAGGAATCAAACTTGCAAATATATAACTTAGAAGATGGAAAAGAAAATCCATCACATACTTCTTTCCAAATTTCGAAATAGACCACTTATGTAATCACCCAACTTCCTTTATAACATGTATGTATGAGTGGACAAGAGTAAAATTCTGAAACAAAAGACTTTTCGAGCTCAACACCTATACAAAATGTATTTGAAAAAAAAGAGAAAGAAATTCTTATGTCATTATTTTGTTTCCAAAGCTCAAGGGAGAAATAGCATGCCATCACCCAATGTCACATTGATTCAAGACATAGAACATATGATTGCTTTTCAATATGTTTCCAACCTTCATAATAAAGACTATCAAATATTCAAAGAGAACTTTAATCAGACTTCATGATATGACAATTCTAACCAACATTAATGTAAGAAGAACAAACATTGACCTCTTCATAAAGGCATTTATACTTCAAAGAGGAAAGAGCCTCCACAAACTATATAAGCGGAGAATCAAGTTGGCCCATAAGAGAGACTAGATACGTGACATTAACAAGAGAGCTTTCATATAAAGAACGTGAAATAGGACCATGTATGTCAACTCCCACCCATTAAATTCTAATGTAGCCTCAATTATAAATCATCAATAAGAAAGGTGCTTGCCCACAATGATTCACTAAAATGAAGAGAAAAACTTTCATGATGTTAAATACAGGATTAAGAATAGAGGTTTCACCAATCACAAAACAAGGATTACTTGAAATTCTCATATGTGAGATGAAGTTAATAGAAATGTTCAACTCCTAGCATAAGTCCAAATATATACCACATACTCTTATGCAAGAGGGAAGAAAAGGTTATCCATTGATATAATTATTACAGAACATATCACTTGTATGGCATGAACTATAATAACAACAGACTAAGCCAACTATCACTCCTCTTCAACACAAATGTTCACTCTTAGTCTCACATTCTCAAGAAAGACAAAGAAATGAGAGATGATGTAGAATTCTTGCATCTAAGCGTATTCCCAAAGCACTTGGTTAAGAAAACAACTATCCAAACATCACAAATTCTTTTTGTGGCGTTTTGTCAAACACTAAATATGCAAATATTGATAAAGTCATGAAAAGAAAGTCACCATAAAAGCCATGATTTACACCTATTCAATCAAGACTCTCCAAATAACTCACAAAGGAAACCTAATAATCCATGGATTCATCATTTTAGTAAAGAGATATGTATACATGAGTATGGAAAGACAATCCAAATAAGTTTCATTCTCAGATTTTATAAAGAAAAGGGAAGAAGTAGTAGAAGAATAAGAAGGGGAAGAAGGAGGAAAACAAGAAGAAGAAGAAGAAGAAGAAGAAGGGTAAGAAGAAAAGAAAAGGAAATAAGAAGAAGAAGAAAGGAAAGAGGTCACCTGCCCTAGGGAGGAAAGAGGTCACCTGCCCTAGGGAAGAAAGAGGGGCTTCGTATCCAGCTACCGGAGGAGTGTCAGGCGTGCGAATCCAGAGGGAATCGGGAGGCTTAGGCTTCCTTGTCCCTCGCGCGAATCAGAGAGATGGAGGGAGCAGGGGCGTCAGGTCTGGTCCGGGAGAAGGAGTCGGACAGGGTAAAAGGTCCGTCGGGTTCGGCCTTGGTGTGCAAAGCCGAGAGTGAGAGGTGGTGGGGCTAGGCCGGCCGAAGGAAGAGGCGAATCCAACAGGAGGGAGGAGAACCGAGGGAACTAGGGCACGGGGAGAAGAGGGGAGCTTCGGCCTCCTTGTTTATGCGAACACAGAGAGAGACGGAGCCAGAGAGGGGGTTCCGCCTGGGCTAGGTCATCGAGACGGGGTGATCCCGTCCGGCTAAGTTGCGCGAGAGAGAGGAGAGGGGATCCGGGCGGCTGCCTTGCGAACCTAGAGAAGGATTCGCCTGGGCTTCTCACGAACCGGGAGAGAACGAGAGAGGGAGGTCGGGGGTCTTCCGACCTTGGCCGTGCAAAACGAAAGGGAGACGGGGAGAACTGCTCGGTTGGGATTTTTGAACAGCAACGACAAGCAGGAGAGGGGGAAGCCACGACCTGGAAGGCTTCGAACGGGAGCTCGTCGGCTTCGCTAGGTTCGCCAATGAGGGAGACCGTAGGGAAGGAGTTCCGTGCCTTGGCTTTTCTGGGCCCTGCGAACTAGAGGGAGGCGGGGGTAGTCAAGGAGGCTTTTGGCCTTAGTTAGGGCACGAAAAGGGAGAGAAGGGAGATCAGAGCCGTCCGATTAAATTTCTGATCCGACCGTTGGATTCAAATTGGCTTGGAAATTCAATCAAATTTTGATTAGGACTTAGCTACATCCAAGTGACTGAAATCAGGTTCAAATTGAGTAAGGTTTGGTTCGATCCGGGTCAACTCGAACTCGCCTCGACTCGACCCAAAATTAATTCAATAAAATAAGATAAAATAAATCAAACTCAAATTAATGTCGATTCGAATTGAATCGGGTTCGACGAAGCTCGATTAACACGATCAAACACAGTCGAGGGCAAAACCAGGACAAAAGCGAGGTCAACATTATCTACATCTTGAAAAAATCTCAAATCGTTGATCTGCTGTGCTTTTAATCAAATATAATTCGATAACCTCAATTCTATGGTAGGAATAATCAAGATATAATCCAAGCGTTATTTTTTATTTTACTAGAATAAACGGTTATTTGTTTATCTTTTATTTTTAACTAATGAGCTTTGTAAAGCCTCTATACAATTCGATAACCTCAATTCTATTAACATAGTAATTTACCAAGAAGTTATCCTTTTTTTCATGTAATGGTTGTACCTTCACTTGCTTGGAATTCATATTTATTTAAATGTAATCTACTGATTTCTACCATAAATATTTGTGCTGGTTGTAATGTTCTTGGACTTTTCTATTTGGAATGTAAACGTATTCGGGTTTTACAAGAAAATATCTTAAGACTTTCATTTCTACTGTTTTTTTTTGTTTATTTGACTAGTGTTCTCATTTGTTCTGGGATATTAATCTAGTCTCCCCTTTTTGTGTTCTTAGTTCTTATCACTATTGAATTCAAAAGCTGCATTCATCTGTGAAATTATGCGCGACTGTTACGAGGCCTTTGCTCTATATTGCTTTGAGAGGTATTTAATTGCATGCCTAGGTATGGTTGCCTTTGCCATTTTCTCTTCTTTACTTTTTAACTAATGCTCGGCATCTTTGATACAGTAGAGTGTGTTAAATAAAATTTCATCGGCTTGGGTTGGTCTTTATCTTATGTTAGATGTATTATAATGTTGGACACAATGAAGAATGTGCAGGTTGATCTGTGGTAAACTATTTAGGATAAATTTTGAAATGCTAACATTAATGGTAGCATATTGATATGGGTGCATTAACCATTATTTTAAATACTATGTATCTGAATATTACTTCAATCTCTCTCTCTCTCTGTCTCTCTCTATAACACAGACTTTAGAAAATTCACAAGATTGGTATGAATCTTGTGAAAATATTTGAATTGGAAATTTTTGGAATTAAATTCATGCTCATCCGAACTCTAATTTTAACAAACTTATAGTCAAATTGAACAGTCTTGATAATGCAAACCTTAAAGCGCTATAAAAGGACCGATCCGACTCCAAATAAACTCAAATCAAGCATTTGAATTATGTTTGGAAACTTCTGAACATAAATTGATGGACCAAATGAACTCTAATAATAGCATATAGTTAAATTGAGTGTCTAGAAGAGACGAATCTAACGAGCTTAAGATCTTGATTCTGGCATAATCAAGACATTTAAATATTTGATAAGATGATATGTGATCAAGGGAATTAATATGGACTGTATCATGGAGTGCTTTGGAATTTTTTTCTAATTTACTAAAATGTTCATCTCAAAATGCCTATAAATAGGCGTGCTTTAGATTCTGACCATATTTGCTAAAATGTCCATCTCAAAATACCTATAAATAGGTCTTCATTATCTATAGAAAGAGAGTTTGAAGAGTGGAAAGAACTAAAAAATTCTCTTCATTTTTCTGCTATCACCGCCAAGGACCACCACTAGCGATCACCGCCACCATCACCCGACTTTTGTTAAGATTCAACCCTGTTGTTGGGTTATTAGGTTCACTTGTGGACACCTGACTTCTATAATTCTATAGAGAAAATCAGAAAATTGTATTGTAACTACTCTTATGTTCAATTATGAAGAAGAGAGGATTATTGGATCTTCTACTCAATAGTGGATTTTTGCATTTGGGCCATACCCCATGATTTTTTCCTTTCATAAGTTTTTCACATAAAAAATTTGTAGTTCTGTACTTGCTGGATTTTTGTCTAAAACTAAGAAATAAAATACACTCTACCGACACAAATTTTCTAGCATATTACGGTTTGATGCCATCTGTGAAAAATATTCCTAACATGCCATACCTAATCAAGGATGCCCTAAAATTTTCCAAATGATTGATAATCAATCCCTTAATCAAGGACAATAAAATATAGGTGATGAAAGTCATCCAGGCCTCACTTTAGAAGAATGTATGTGTAAGATGGAAGAACTTCAATTACAAATCTTGCAACTATTAGAGGAGACTGGATAATAAAAAGAAGCACCATAGTATGTTTGAGTTATAACCCCACAAAATCAACAATACTTTATGGATAATGCCAATCAAGCAATATATCTCATCATACTAAAGGCCCCCCTCTACCACAATCTTATGAAGATCACTCGAATACTGATAGTTCAACATATCCGTCTTGTATTATTCAATCAGCCCGTCATGGATGATTTAAAACAGCTCGCTATACCCTCACCAGTCATGGATGATTTAAATCAATGTTACTTTAATGAAGCCCCTCATGATGTTGTAAGAGACGTGGCATGAAATCTTATCCAGGACTTTTCTTGAGGGAAATGAATTAACTTACTTCTCATCAAAATAATGCGTTTCTTTAGCATTCTATTGTAGTAAGGTTTAAATTGCCTATAATTGATCTATATGGTGAGACTTCTGACTTTTTTGAGCATATTGATCACTCCAAGACCATCATTCATATCTAGCATGCTTCTAATGTAGTCCTTGGCCAGGTCTTTCCTATAATTCTTAAAAGACAAGCTCGTACATGATTATATTCTCTTTCAAGTAAAATTATTCAAACTTTTGTGAAAGAATTCATCGCCAATAGAAGGATTATCAAGAACTCCACCAACCTTTTTGGGATTCGCCAAAATGAGGGATAGATCCTTAATGAGCCTTTTGAAAGATTTTTTTTTTTATGCATGCTAAATCTCAGTAGTAGATCTAAAAATGTTAAGAAGTGTTTTCCTTGGAGATCTCCATCCTAGACCTTTCTACTCTTTATTGAAGCGAGATATTGTTCCCTCCAAGGTGATCTCATTTATCGAGTAGAAGCTCAAAGAACTGCTGACGAGACCATCAATACTTCCTAAGTATGCAAGGAATATCTAGATTGAGAATCATTTAACTTTTCACTAAAGTATGCAATGGGATTCCCTTCACGGCTAAGCACAGCTCATATACTAATATGCGAGGAATCACAATCAACTTCAAAAATCTTATCAAAATTTGGCAGATTAAGGATTGGAGGTTGACTCATTTTTGGTTTGATTATTTGAAAAGTTTGTTTAGCTCCAGGTGTCCACTTAAAAATTCCTTTTTTTTAAACAATAAGTGATAGGAGCAATTAGAGAGCTAAAGTTTTTAATGAATCTACAATAGAAAGAAACTAGACCGTGAAACCCTCTCACCTCGCTAATATTTTTAGGAGTAGGCCAGTTTTGAATTGCCTCAATTTTAACAGGATCAACCTTAATTCCCTTCGCATACACGATGTACCCTAAAAATGTCAAACTTGAAGTCACGAAAAAACATTTTTTCATATTGATGTACAATTTTTGTTCCCTTAGAGTTTGCATAATTTGTTTCACATGATTAAGATGTTCAGAGGGGTGAATGCTGTAAATCAGAATATCATCGAAGTACACAACCACAAACTTTCCTATGAAAGGCCTTAAAACATGATTCATTGTTCTCATAAATGTACTAGGAGCATTAAACAACCCAAAAGACATAACCAGCCATTCATACAATTCTTCCTTGGTTTTGAAAGCAGTTTTCCATTCATCATCCGATCTAATTCTAATATGATGATACCTAGTTCTCAAGTCAATTTTAGAAAAGATTTTAACACCACTTAGCATATCTAACATGTCATTCAGCCTAGGAATTGGAAACCTATATTTGATGGTTATTTTATTTATAGCTCGGTTATCCACACACATCCTCCAGGTTCCATCTTTTTTAGGAGTAAGTAAAGCAGGCACAGCACAAGGACTTAAGTTTTCTTTAATTAAACCCTTCTCTAAAAGTTCAGACACTTGCTTATGAAGTTCTTTATGTTCAGTTGGACTCATCTGTAATGGGGAAGATTAGACAATGTGGCTCCAGGGATTAGATCAATGTGATGTTGAATGTCTCTCATTGGGGGCAAACCTTTTGGCAACTCTTCAGGGGTTATGTCAAAAAATTCATGGATTAAAGGTTGTATTTCTTTAGGAATTTATGAAATTGTATCAGATTCTTTTCCTCGGACCAGGTATGCTACCTCAAATTGTTTCAATTCATTTGTGTTAAGAAGCAGTTCACAAGTGGTTGTTTTTGCAATTTTGATATTTTTGTCAGGTGGGTCAGGAATGTGTTTTTGTGGGTAAAGAGTGAATTCCTTATTATTTTGAATTGAAGTGTAGGTATTCTTTTCCCTGTTATGAATTGTTTTATGATCTAATTGTCATGGACGACCCAATAAGATGTGACAAACTTTAAGAGGCACAATATCACAAACAACTTGATACTTGTAAGAACTCCCAATTGTTAGACTAATAGTACATTGCTTTGTTATAGGAACCTCACCTCCTTTGAACCAAGAGATTTTGCATGGTTTGGCAAGTGGCTTAGATTTTAGTTTAAGCTTATCTACTATCAGTTGTGAAACAAAGTTACCTGAACTCTCACTATCGATCATTAAGGTGCAAAGTTTTCCCTCAACAGTGCAAGTGGTTCAAAAGATGTTTCTTCTAAGCCATTTATCCCCATTTTCCATTTTAGCAGTTAAAACTTGTCGGATTACTAGGAGTTGATCACCTTGATCGCCCTCTACATCCACCCTTTCTAATTCAATTTCATTTTCAGGTTCAATTTTGTTTTCTTCTTCCTCTTCCTCTAATTCTTCATCATTTCCAATGTTGTTAGTTTTTGGAGGATTGTTTTTTCTACAAGCAGCTGAAAATGCCCATATTGTCCACATTTGTAATATGGTCCAATCAGTTTTGGTGGTTCAGTTGGTTTGGGTCCCATTAATCCCTTACCCTTATCTAAAGCTTGAGTTTCAAAAGTTTTAGTTCGCACACCAGATGTTCCCACAAAAGTTTGTGAAGATTGAATTTTAATCCCTTATCCCATATATATGTATGTATGCATGTATACAAACAACAACAACAATAACAAGCTGTTATACCACTACTTGGGGTCAGCTACGTAGTGGGATAAAAGCTTGTTGTTGTGTGTGTGTGTATATATATATATATATATATATATATCCGCCCTTTAGAGTCCCTCAATCTTAAATATGTTACTCAGGTAACATGGCAGTGAGAAACCACAACAAAGCTGATAACCCTTGTAACTGTTTTTGTATGTATGATGGAGAACTAATCCGTCAAGTACATGTCATGTTTAATTGAATTTGGATATAAGGACAAATGGCCAGTCAAAGGTAACCCGACCCTAAATTTTTTTTTTAATGATTTAGCTAAACTAGAAATAAGGCCCAACGCAGCTCGTGTTTGGAAGCAATTGTCTTAGGAAGAAGTACATTAGATGTATTAGAAGTTCGAATTTGCATGTTTATGTTTATTAAAATTTCATTACTCTTTGCATGTGAATTTTTCTTATTTTGTTTCATTTTACTAATGTAAGCTAGTAACAAGTAATGATTTTAGGAAGATGGAATGAGATTGATGATAATGATGGCAGTACAACGAATAAATTGCAGATCAATGTTATTATATATGAGTGTGAAATGGGAAAGCGGATTGAAAGATTGAGAAAGGAGGAGTTCGTCCTGCACCTCCTGGTGTGCTGCTTCCTGCGCTTGATGAAACCGGTGTTTTAGAAGCACTAATTGCCTAGTGAAGCGCAAGTTCTTTTTTTTTTTTTGCTTCAATGAATGAAATGCTAAGTGAAGAGTAAATTTTACTAATTAGGGTGCTCATGGATTGTATATCATATATACATATATTATGTATATTAATTAATCAATATTGCTCCACTTCTAATAATTTTTAAAAATTATAATAATAACATTTAATAACAATAATTCTTAGGTATTTGAAAGCAAAAAAATTGAATTGAAGATACAAAAAATGAAGTGATGAAAAATTACATTAAAATCAAGAGTATTCATGAGATTTAGAGACCGATTAGAGATTGAGAGGCGAAGGAACATGAGGCAAAAGAGAGTGAATATGAGGTACTAAGAATGATCTAGAAAATGCACTAAGTATTCTCGAGAAGAAGTGATTAAGCAAAAATCTGCTAGCTCTAGCAACAATAACCAATGAAAAGTGCATACAAAAAATCACACAGAGAGAGAGAGGTGTGATAGGCATAGTTTACTTTGAGCTTGAGCTTCCCAGTCAAATGATCCTCATGGGCACAACATGGCTTCTCTTCACTTTTCAAGCATGTTTTTAATAATACTGAATGAAATATTCAGCTTAAAAAACAACCACCAAAATGTCTCAACTTCATGGAAGCTATGAGAAGATGGATTTATGATGCAAAGAAGCATTTTAAATTGTCATAAAAGATATAGGAAGTCTGTGAAAAGCCTTAAAGGTGTACTGTTTTAGTTTGATTGATTACCGAATATTTGTTACCGTAAGTGCTTTTTCTAAATTTCATTATGATTCCCGTGAAATGTTCTTGAATTTGTTTGCTTTTTTAATCTGTCTCACATGTCCGGGAGTATAGATTTTTTTTCCTCATTGACTATTTGTGAATTAAAAGTTACCGCAACATAATTTTTACCAATGATTATAATTATTTATTTATTTTCATCCAATAGGAGGTGAGGAGAGAACAATTAAGCTTATGGAGAACCAGGTCCAAACCAGTTCTAGCATGCCTCTTTTGGAACTTGCTTACGAAGATAGAGTTATAAGGCATCCATTTCCATTGAATTGTTGTATGAGGAAATGGTATCTTGGCCCAGACTTCTATCAAGCTGTGAAAATTGGTATTGTACAATATGTAAGTACTTATCTTTTTGCGTGGTAATATTTCTGACGATACGTTACAGACATTTTGATCAAATTTCTCTTTTTCAGATGATATTGAAGACAATTTGTGCACTCTTAGCAATCATTTTGCAGCTTTTTGGGGTCTATGGTGAAGGAAAGTTTGAATGGACTTGTGGGTAAGATTAATCTCCATTATCTCTTATTTTTAGTAGAATTTCTTTTTGCCCATTTAATGCAACTTTGAGTTACGACTGGGTTAACTTGTCGAATTTCTTGATGAATATTTATGTTGTATATGTTGTCAGGTATCCATATCTAGCGGTCGTTTTGAATTTTAGCCAGACATGGGCTTTGTATTGCCTCATACAGTTCTATTCTGTTACCAAGGACAAACTCGATCATATAAAGCCTCTCGCCAAGTTTCTTGTGTTCAAGTCCATTGTATTTTTAACCTGGTGGCAAGGAATTATTGTTGCGTTTCTCTTTTCAACTGGAGCTTTTAGAGGCCATTTAGCACAGGAGCTGAAAACTCGCATCCAAGATTATATAATATGCATTGAGGTATGATGCCATATAATGTTCATTTATTTAACATGTACTTTTTTTTCCTAGAAGAGCTTTGGCATTTTTTTTATGTTAAATATGCTTGAATTTTATTCATTCTTAGTTTATATAGGTGTATATAGCGCCATTGCTGATCCTTTGTCTGATCTTTTAAAAATCCAAGTTTTGCCACAATTCATTATTTAGGCGGTGGAAGGTGGGTGGGTCTATGCTCCAATTTCTACACCAATCTCATCAGAGGAAAAAAAATTTCTCTTGAGTAAATGCAACTCATCTCTTAAAACTGAAATAACCTAGCTGATGGTAGTTAACCTAATATTTTTAGTAACATTACATAATTGTTTATCAAGATAAGTTTAATATTACATACTTTTTAACCAAACATCACAACATATCATCTAAGCTCCAATTAACTCTTTTAGTTTGTCCATCACTATGTCAGCGGTCAAAATTGAAAATTTTATAATTGTATTTTGAGTATGTTTAATATTAGTTGCTTTTTCAGTAGTTATTTTCCCCTTTGATAGTTGCTATCAAAATGATCGTAGAATGCAGCAAAATGCTGATTTTTGTAGTTATTTTTCCTTTTGATGGTCGCATTTCATCCTTTAACCCCGCTATTACAACTCGGCCTGGGGTCTTGGATTAATGTGGCGGGACTTGACGGTTGGACAGTTAATTAAAAATTTTGCTTCATAGAATTTGCATCAATAAGCTATTTTCAATATAATGAAAGAGCCACTAAATCCTCAAATGCATTTTAATGAAAAATATTACAACTATTTCAAACAATACCTTTCTTGTGGAGCGTTGTGTCTAAGATACATGTTCTTTCTTTTTCCATTCATTTAAATCCCTTGACTAATACATGTACACAATTGTAAATATAGGGTTGAGTCATAACTCAACTCAGTGGATATTAATTAAGTATTAAAATATTCAATAAAAAATAACTCAACTCACTGGGGCACTTCATTTTTTTTAAAACTCAACTCACTGGGCACTTCATGTTTTTATATTATAGTAATATAAGGTGTTTTGAATAATATGCATGCTCATTATAAAATATAAAATATTTCTTATTCTAAATTTATTTTAATAATGATCATGATGACTTCATCATTTTTGTAAATAATATAACCGTCGTAGGAGGCATTGTCTAAATAGTATCCATTAAGCTACTGTCTTTTTCATAATCATTTTTTTTATTTGACATGCATGGATACATTGTTTCTTTAGTCAATAACATAAAGATACTCTATCAATCAACATGTATATTTATTATCTAGTTATTTCATTCATATATCATTCAAAAATTTTTTATAATGCATATGATGAAGTTTTATGCTAACTGTCACAAAAATTTTGATATGACCATTCATTGAAATAGAAAAGCTAAATAATACTGAAATTTTACAATAATCATTAACTAAACAAATATCAATTCAGTTAATAAAATCATATAAGATGAAGCAACGTTATTATTGTAAGAATAGGAATATGAGTGATGTGAAACCAACATGCGCAGGAGCTCATTTAAGAAATTTTAAGAATAGTTGACAATGAATTACCAATTAATAACTTATCGAAATAACAAGCAATTTCATCAAAGAATCTTAGTTTTCAACTAGCTTAGGCAAGGAAGTACATGTAGATTAGCCAAAACTCCTAGGTAACCAAAGATAGTAGCAATATCAAAAGCTATTAATCAACAATCCGCAACTTAATAAAGAGATATTTCACCTTGGGGATGGATCAATCAACTACACTAGGCTTAGCGGAAAAAGGTCTTTAGCACACCCAACGATGCCACGAGGACGGTAGCAACACCAATGGCCTTGATCCACGAAAAGATCGGCGGTGGCGGAGATGGCGGGGATGGATGGCCTTGGAGGATCCAATCGTAGTCTTGAAATTGGTTTGAAATTGGTCGTCTATGACGTCCACGAGAGTAGGCAAGATGCGATTTAGATAGTCCTCAATAGTGTCGTCAAATCTAAATCCAACGTCGAAGAACTGCGAACGGGTGATGTGAATGTCGCCGTAGATGTCGTACACGAATCCGCTATCAAGCTCAGGATCTGCCATGCGTCATTTACGCGGAGAGGGGCGGCATAGTCTTCTTCTTCTTTGACTTTACAGATCACAAGGAGAAGCAAGATGAGGGGGCGGTGGGAGCAGGAGGAAGAGGAGCCGGAGGTTTCCAAGAGAGATCCAATGGCAATAGGTTTAATCCCAAAATCTGAAATTAATTTCAGATTTTAGTGGATTTAGAGGGAAATCCAAATTGAAATTAATTCAAATTTGAGGGGAGTTAAAGGGGAATTAATAACAAATAATGGTGCCATTAAGAGGGGGAGGCCGGCGGGTTCTCAAGAGAGGGGGAGGGGTGTTGTTTCAAAACATGAAATTAATTTCAGGATTTGAATGAAATTTGGCGGGAATTTGATTTGATATTTGATTTTAAATTGGCTTGGAATTAATGCCTTAAGTGAGCATTAAATGGAGAGAGAGAGAGAGAGGGCCTAGTAAGGCCGGCGGCATGGAGAGAGGGGGAAGGGGGAGGGATCACAGGGAATTAGGAAGCTAGATTATGAGATCCTTTTCAATTTGAATTTCAAATTGTTTTGAATTTGAAAACTTTCCTAATTTGGCTTTGACAAATTAGGAAATTTTGGAACTCAATCAATTTTGAATTTTCAAAATTTGATTAAGTGGGGAATGCGGAAGGTGGCTGGCGGTTGGGGTTGTGGAGGAGGTGGTGCCGGAAGGAAGCCGGCAGCCAAGAGGAAGGCCGGCGGGTTGGCTCCCTTGGATTTACTGCGGGATGAAGTTGGGGCTCGGATTTCAAATAAGCGGAGTGAACATTGGGTGTTGGATGTGGATGAAGAAAGCACAAATAAGATAAAAAGAACTTAACCACGAGTTGCGGACTCTTCCAACGACTGGCGGGCCTTGCAATTTGCTCCCCTTAAGCTCTCTCCCTTCTCTAGCTCTCATGCAAGAAGAAGTAGAAACAAAACACAATTTTCATTCAAACATCCATTCATTAACCTCTCATGAAGAGGAGAAGGCCTTAAATAGCCAAAGGAATAAAGAGAAATACAAAGACCAAATTGCCCCTAAGGCTAACACATGACGAGGCCTTTAAGGGCATACATGGAAAGAATTCATTAGCTATTACAAGAGAAAAGACCCATATATATAGGTCTCAAGCATACAAGAAGAAATAAAGACTAAATTGTCCTCAGGGCCCCAACATGACTCAATTCAACATAAGGGTACAATAGGAAAACATAAAAATAAAATGCATAAACAACTAGAAATAAAAGCTCTGAATCGTGGCCATCGATCTGCGATGCTTCCGGCGATACACATGTTTGAACCTTGGATCGATGTTCTCATCAATGAGTACTCACCTCAAATCTAGATAATTCGATGGCTTACCTTACTCCTTGTTTTGACTTCAATAATACGACACATATAATTGAATGCATAGAATGTTCATCTTAAGATTGATATAATAATCTAATTCATCTTTGCTTTTATTCAATTGCATAATACTGTTTAATATTGAAAATCCAATAATTTAATGTTTAACATCTTTCTATAACTAAACTATTAAATTTTCAAATGCACATAAAATTTAAGATTACACATATTAGTCATGTCTCACAATTTAGAAGATTTTTAATTGAATGCAATGATAATCCCTATCTTGACAATATAATAACATTTTAAACCTCAACTAAAATTATCTCTCTCTCTCTCTCTCTCTCTATGTTGAACTCTGCAAGCAGATCCACCACGCAAGCGTTGTTATAGATTTTATTGACTATTCTAAATGTTCCCGCACTTCTAGCATGTGATTTACGGACGAATCCGCATCATTACTAAGTTACCAACCTCAATAGATTTAAATTGTTGTTCAGAATCAGCATGAAAGTTATACTTATTATTGCTCTCTTCAGTTAAGCGTGCAATTTTCTTAAGAAAGTGATGCAGATGTAATGTAAATGCGGCATGTGATATGCGAATTCATATGTCCAAAATTCAAGACTCAATAAGATGAACATGAGGTGATGCAAGAGACTGCAAGATGAATGAAATATGGATTCACACATAACTTTTAAACAAGGAAAACTTTGGAAGACAACAGACTACAAAACACACAACACATACTAACTCACACGAACATAGCTAGAAAAAGTGGACAAGTCACAAAAGAGTGGTTCTAAAGTGTTCGGTCTAAGGGAACTGGGGTAGGGGGAGGAATGAAAACACTCTTAGCTACCAGGACACTTCTATAGGTGGTTTCAGTTAGGGTCGACAGCAGTCTCCTAGTGGTGGTAGCGTCACTTAATAAATTCATCCAACTAGGATAGAAGTGGTCCTTATCCTGGTAGTACGAGGCTATAACGGGCAAAATGTATGAATCAAGAATGACACACTCGGCCAAATATATATCTAATTGAGCAACTCTAAAGTTAGACTCTAATGAAACAAGAGGGGGCTCATTGCTCAAATCAGGCTAAAAAACTTTCAGACTCAAGGTACTGTCTTCCGAAAGAGACTCAAGTTTGGTTGCAACCCTAAGATCCATGGGTTCCATTTCACTTAAACCAGGTGATAAATTCGATTGACTTACTTCCAACTCGAGATTATCTAAGTCGCTATCAGAATTATCTAGAATTAAATTAGAATTATCCAAGACTAAATCAGAACTATCCAAAATTAAATCAAAATTATTAGAATTATCCGGAGTCATCTCAGTAGGTGTTACAACTAAATCAGGATCTTCCAAATTTAAATTCAAAGTGTTCGAAGTTTGATTGGCTCCTTTCGAGATCACATTACTATCATCCAGGCATACTTTGTCCAAAGGCTTATCCTCGAGGAGACTAGGATCGGGGTGGGTTAAGGTGTCGATATTTAAAGGTTCTTGCTTTCCTAGCTCAGGGTTTAAGTCATTTAGGGAGTTTGATTCAATCTCTTTAGTTTCATCCTCAAAGAATTAT